AAGCAGTGGTATCAACGCAGAGTACTCGACCAGGCAAGCTATTTTCAAAACGTGAACATCATTTTATTTCAACCGCACTAGTCCCCGCTTACATAAGCTAACCACCCTCCCATCGTAGCTCATTTCGACAGAAGAGATGCGAATGTTGAAAGCAGAGTTTTACAAACAATATCATACGTGCGACTCGCTAATCATTTAGCGACCTGGAAAATCTGTAAAGGGCACAATGAACAGTCTAATGCGACAACAAGAGCTCATGGTCTTCCATCCCTGTAGCAAGTGGACAGAAACATAGTGAAACTGCGCTCACGCTGAGGCTTTTCATCGCATTTGCGATCACAGCATTACTAGAGAAATCAGAATTAGCCAGAACTACAACTTACAGTTTGTAGAGGTCAAGCAAAAGCATGCAGAATCGGAGGCGCCACATACTTAAGGCCAGAGCCCAGACTGGCGAACTGTTTCGTAAAGATAGGTGCCAGAGTAAACGAATATTTTGTTCAAGTTGGGGTCCTGCGGTGAACTGACGTCTCTCACCATACTGGCATCAATCCAAGTGACGTCAATTCTCCGCAGGACCCCAACTTGAACAAAATATTCGCTTAGGTAGGTGCCAAGTAAGCGAATATTTTGTTCAAGTTGGGGTCCCGCGCAGAACTGGCGTTACTAATCACTGTGGCACAACGCCAAGTTGGCATTATGCCACAATGATTAGTGATGCCAGTTCTGCGCGGGACCCTAACTTGAACAAAATATTCGCTTACTCTGGCACCTACCAAAAGCATTCTCGTGCCGGGACTCTGCCGCATCCAGTCGCTCTCCTTGTTTCAACCAGTGCTTTTCATCTCGCTAAAGGCACTGTCCGGGCTTCTGGATGCAATGGTTTTTGCGTGGATGATGAGGGAGTTTCAACTCATGCTCTGTTCACACGGCAACGCAAATGATCCGATCACAGCTGGAAGATCCATCTCGAATGACTAAGGACGGGTCCCAGCGCGAACGTGGACTTGTCAGAGCAAATCAAATTGCGGACGGTCATTGTGCAGCTGCGAACAGCTCGGTAATGATATTCTCAGCCGTGGATGGATCATTTGCGCTGATGCTTGGCAGTGCCTCACCAGGGAAGGATGCTTGATCGAAGTGGCTCTTGAGACCGGACATATACCATCTTAAAGGGCATAAAACGCTGATTCAAAATCCGTTTTGCTTAGTACGGAGCATTCCCGCGTGAGGAGTTATGAGCGTTTATTGAAGTAAAAAATCAGTTGTGTAAAAAGTGAATGAAAAACACTCGTAAGACTTTCCTTAGCTCTTGAATGGAGCAGTTATAATTATCAGAGCACTTCGTGCAATAAATACTTTTAGATAAATTATATTCGCTCTCCACTGCACACTTGAAAGCAAAGGAAATTCTAACAACTAAATTTACCTTGAAAAGTCATTCAAACTTTACTATATCAAACGCTCATAACTCCTCATGCAGTAACGCACCGCAGATAATCAGAACAGATTTTGAGTTAGCGTTTTATGCCCTTCAAGATGGTATATATACGGTCTCGAAAGGCCATTTCGACCAACCATCCTTCCCTTGTCAGGGACTCCCTCATCGGTTTCCACGTAGAAAACCCATGTGCCCAGATTGAGTGGACACTGCCTTGATTTTCTGCAACAAAGCGTGTACTACATACTGTGTTGGGATCATGTAAGCAGTGGTACTTAGGATCAACCACAAACTGGAAAATAATATGCTCTCCCTAGCGGCTGAAGCACACAAATTTTTCGATGCCCTGTGTTTCCACCTGCTTGAGGGAGTCTGCGCACTCTCTTTCATTTATCAAGGGCACATGGAAAGGATAGCTTACCTAGTTGCCCAATCTTCTGATTGTGGTGTTGGCTCCGGTTTCACATCACCATTCCCAGGTCGTGGTTCCTTGCGTAATTCTTCAATTTTCTTCTCTACCAGACTGCGCGGTATGCCATCCTCTGCTTCATCAGCTTCGACCAACAGTGCCCAGAGCTCTCCCATAACTCTCGTGCGCGTCGAGCATTGAGGAATCCGGTAATGTTTATCTGGAAATACAGACTAGTGAAATGATTTCAAAACGTGACAGGATGAGGTGAAACAAACCTGCATAATTTTTGGATTAATGATCTTTTTTCCTCCAATTGACTCATTATATACTCAATCACAACATCGTCTTCGATACCCGAGAATGTCGTTGATACGCATAGTGATCCACGGCTTGATCACGTCCAAGTTGATTTTGTCCATGTTGATCTTAGAAAAAAACCATGCCGAAAATCCTTTAACATTCGGTTTAGAACGCTCTAAGCTAACCTACTTTCTAAGCTTTAGTAAAAAGTATTCCAAAAGCATTAACGTTAAACTTAGCTAAGCGCTCCTAATAAAAGTAAAAGTACCTTCCGATCTAATGTGTTCTCGAATTTCATCTGTTTGAGCAACTTCTTCTCCTTATCAGAAAAACCGACCATCTTGATCCGAGCTTGTACCTCGGAAAAATCCAGCATCACCCATTCTAAAAATAGACAGCGATCTAGTATGACTGATTAGCAATCAACATCAATAACTGGTTGTGAGATGAAAAAAGAAAGCAGCTGTTCTCAAGCTATTTCTCACTTGCAAAATCTGTTTCTTATTCAAACTGCCTCGCTGATGCAAGAAAGTAGGTGAAACGAGGGAAAACTTTGACTGCATATATCTAGACTAGAAAAATAGTGAACATTTGACTAACGAAATAATTTCGAAAGCAATTTTGAGCACTATCAAAACTTCTCGCTCAAAATAGCTTCACCACGAAGACTAGTGAAGTTAACAGCTTTCATGGAGCCATTTGTTTCCAACACTGATTCGTGGTAGCCACAGCAACAAAAAATTTGAAACACTGAACAGGGACGCCAAAGAAACCGAACCCACGTCCGAGTCCGGCGGCGTCGCAGCGGCGATTCAACCCGATCCGCAGGCGCATCTACTGCATTGGAATTTACGCCATCAAAAATGCAAATACTCGTTCGGCACACAGAGGCAGATTCCTTGTTTCTGTAAACCACGGTCAAGCCCGGGGTGTGGCAGCACCTGAGGGATCGTATTGAGGGGTAGGGAAAGGGGTCGTTATCAAGGTGATGCTGATGTTAGCGGTTACATGATATTCGTTAACAATGTCAGATAGGCCTGACATGCAAAATACTAGCACATACAGTAAGTATCTACAACGATCAATCATTTTTGTAATTGACTTGTCGAGTAAACCCCTGTGGACCAAGCTTCAGCAAATTCTGAGGTTTCCAAATATTGGACCACCAAGTAAGATGGTCATTTTCGAACATACTGTGTTCCTAAGATAGCAGGATAGAAGATCCGGAAACCACTTCATGCATTCTTCGATGAATTCACACTGTCGGAGGGAATAGCGCTGCGTTCTTCTATGTGACACTGTCACAGGCTTGAAGAATGTGAAGGGTTCATAAGCAGGTTTGAATGACGATTGTGACCGACCTCACGGGCGGCATCTGTGTAATCTTCTGTTCTTGCTTTCTTTTGATAAGTTATTTGCTCGGCTTAGGCTAAGCTGTGCCAGTAAAATAGCGTGATTGAAGAAGCAGGATTGGATGTTTGACATGCCCAAATACCTTTTGAGAGTTACGCTATCACAGATGACCTTTTTTCACGTAAGGCATAGAAGGAAAAAATTATCTAGATTATGTTATTGTTTTTTTGCTACATCTTAATTGAGCTCCTCTGGTCTTAGAGCACTATTCATATCAGCGTTGCCTTGCTTGGGTTGCTGGAACGCTAATTTCGATGGGGTCATCGTGTTTTGAGTTTGAGTTCTGGTACGACGTGCACATTTCTGAAGCTATCACTTTTTGTGTCGAAGATATGAGTATAATCTATTCTGAAACAGAGTACGCTTTGCACATCGTCTCAACAAGGTACTATCTTATAGGTACTCGTTCTTCCATGGTTCAGAGTAGTAAACTGATAGATCACAAGTATTGCTAATCACACACGAGCTTGTTTAGACAGTGTATGCGAAGCGTGCCCGAGTCTTTTAGTCTTTGTATGATCATCTACTCTGTGAATAAAATACTCAGGAATACGGCTACATGTTGTCTGACAGCTGATGACTATGTCTTTCGAGTTCCAAGTACAGTGATCCAAAAAGAGATGAAGCACATGCACTAACTCGTTAGTTAGTCGTGTGCAAAGCATACTCGGATATCCAAGTCCGAGAATGGACGATAGTATAGCAAACATTTTCAAGCAAAGAGCAAAAGGGGACAAACTCAGATCTCAACAGATTAGTTGACTAGGAGAATGCAATCGAAAACTTTCAGTGAACATTCGCTCATATGGAAAGAGCAGAAAACTTCTTTAGACCAAAGTTTCAAATGCCATGATCCTCTTAGACATCGCACTAATCCAGACTTAGGGTCCGATTCAACACTTCTCCGTACTTGGCTTGTTATGTGCACGCGCCTAGTGATGAAGCGTCACATCCTGAACCCAAAATCCTGCACAAGTTCAAGTGATCGAGAGGTTAAAAGGTGAACATATAGAAGCAGTGCAGGTGCAGTAAGGGAAATCAAACTCGGAATCAAAAGCATGCACTCCTGAATGACTTCTATCCTGAATGACAGTGAAATATTCTTTCCTGAGCGCGACCTGAACAAGCGTGACCCAAGCACACAAAGTGGGTGCGCGACGCGACCGCCCGCGCAGCCGACTGTGTAGATTTAAATGGGGCCCGATTGGGGAGCATGTTCGCGAAAGAGGTACAGATCCCGCGCGAAAGCGGAGATGCGTGCACCCGACAGTGCAATTGAGCACTGTAAGGCCTCCGCCAGACTTCGATTAAAAGCCCAAGTCCCCCTAACCTCCCTTCAAATTCTCCCATCTCTCTTACATAACAAAGTGAAGAGACATTGGAGGATTTTGGGGGCGCTCTTAAGCAAAGTTTGGATGGGGCCTAAGTGAACTTGACCCCATTCAGCAACAATAATATTGTTATCTGGCGCAAATAAAGAACGCATGTACTTACTGGGTCCTCTATACCAACTGCGTACTTTTCACTGTAGCATTACAATTTTCAGTATCAAATCCTTACCTTCTTATGCTTCTTTGATTTCTTCTCCTTTTTCGACTTCTTCTCGTAATCAGATTCATCAGTGCTCGATCGATACTTGCGCCTGCTGGCCTTCTTCTTTTTCCTGATATAAAAAATCACTGAAATTTGAAGAAAGAAGAACTAAGCAAAATTCACATACCTTTCCTCTTCTGAAGATGATGTGGACGAAGTGCTAGGACTGCGCTTGCGCTTACTGCTCGAAGTCGTTTCGGTGAATCGCCTCTTCACAGGTGATCTCGACCTCGATCTGCTTCTGCTCTTCCTCCTACGCCTTTCTCGTTCCCTTTCTTCGGCTCGTCGACGCTCTCTGAAGACTACCAGCGTCAAGCTACAATCTCGTGACGAATACATCAAGAATTAGACTCTGCTTACCTTTCCTTTGCTCGCTCCTCATCTCGTCTCCTCTCGCGTTCCCTCTCTTCAGCGCGTCGCTTCAGCCTTTCCTCTTCCCTCTTCTTCGACTCCTCCTCTCTTTTCCTCTCATCTTCTATACGCTGCTGCCTGCGTTGTTCACGTTCTCTGTCACGTTCTCGGTCTCGATCCCTCTCCCTTTCCCGGTCGCGATCTCGATCGTCGTAAGCTCTCTAAACAATAAAGGATGAGAAGTCTCAGATAGAGGATCTTCAAACTAACCCTTCTGGGTGGTGTGTCATCACCACGATTTTCTCTACGTCGTCGAGGAGGTGTACCGCCGCGCGGGCTAATTTTTGTGATACGGTCATCAGGTACTTCCTTCTCTTTCGTGGGACCAGTGTAGCGACCACCAGACAATGAGCTGTACCTGCAAATGCAAAATTCTCAGTAAACATAAATAAAAGAAGCAACAAAGAAGCTACCTGCCCAGCTTAATTGATTTGAAATAACTGCTTCTCTTATGTTACCCCGGGAAGAAATCAATTTCCAGACAAAATCGTTACTACAGCTATTAGATTATCGTTCGCAGATGTAACTATGTATGCAATTTATCGTATGGTTTTACTCTATCAAATTCAGTTTCAATCTGATACGCTTAAGTGAAGCTATGCGTCCAGTGGTCGTAACCACCTGCGAACCTAGGTGGTCAGGCCACGCAGCGGCTAGGCTAACCCACAGCTCTAGAAAGCTACTAGATTAGCACCCTGGGTGCTTTCATCAACGAACCTAGAAGGTTAGCCTACCCAATGGGTTCTGCTGATGACGGTCAAAGATCGCACTACTACACACTACTACTACTACACTACTACACTATAAGAAAGCCCAAATTGATGCCTTGGAACGAGTCCAACGATCTTTCACATCTAGGATCTTTGCCCGGGCTGGAATGTTTCGACTGTCATACAAAACTAGACTCTCCATACTCGCCGCGACCTCCCTTCGGTTTAGAAGAGTGATGTACGACCAAGATCTAGTCTTCAAAATTATGACTGGAAGAGTTGAGCTGAGAATGCAAGATTTTTTCAGACTGTCAACTTTTAACAATCTCACTAGAGGACACAACTTCAGGGTTGTAGTAGGAAAAGTTAGAACTAAGCAGTTCTTTAACTCCTTCTTAGTGCGCGTAGTCAAAACTTGGAATGATCTCCCTGTGGAAGCTGTTACTGCGAGAAACGCCTTCATTTTCAACAGAGAAGTTCAAAAATATTTGAAATCGCAAGGGTCATTCTGATTTTTAATTGCAGAAGCGGAAGAGGTCGTTCCCCTTTGTCCTCTCAACAGCAGCACTCTAGCCGGTTTTGGTTCCTCTATCCAGAAGAGGAAATCGCACTATATGCTATTCCTCCTATTCTATTCCCTAGGAAAAACATTTTAAAAAAACCACTGCAGTAAGCCATAAGCCATACATCGTTTCTTTTCTACCTCATTTCCCTTTCTCGGATGAACTATCCACCTCATGAAAGTTTCATTGATTTTCTGTTCGTTTTTTTTCTTGTTCTGTCTGCATGTCTTGCTGTCCTTTTGGAAATACTTTTTGATGGGGTTATAGCCAGCTAGCCTCCGCCCGTAGGCTCGCTGGCCTTCAAAAAAATGGGGACACAATTTCTGAGAGGCAGCAAGATTCCTTAGTCGACCGTGGATGTACTTTCTTTGCCTCAAAAGATATGATTGTTTTGTTGTCGACTTTATCAAATAAACAAATACACCATCACAAGCAGAGGCCTTGGCCAACGTCAAACGTCCAGAGAGACTGAGAACTTACTTACGTTAACTTTCTTACGTATTTACGAGTCTAAAAACTACAGTGCCATGACTGCTGTCTTCGACCAGCAAGCTATTTTCAAAACGTGAACATCATTTTATTTCAACCGCACTAGTCCCCGCTTACATAAGCTAACCACCCTCCCATCGTAGCTCATTTCGACAGAAGAGATGCGAATGTTGAAAGCAGAGTTTTACAAACAATATCATACGTGCGACTCGCTAATCATTTAGCGACCTGGAAAATCTGTAAAGGGCACAATGAACAGTCTATGCGACAACAAGAGCTCATGGTCTTCCATCCCTGTAGCAAGTGGACAGAAACATAGTGAAACTGCGCTCACGCTGAGGCTTTTCATCGCATTTGCGATCACAGCATTACTAGAGAAATCAGAATTAGCCAGAACTACAACTTACAGTTTGTAGAGGTCAAGCAAAAGCATGCAGAATCGGAGGCGCCACATACTTAAGGCCAGAGCCCAGACTGGCGAACTGTTTCGTAAAGATAGGTGCCAGAGTAAACGAATATTTTGTTCAAGTTGGGGTCCTGCGGTGAACTGACGTCTCTCACCATACTGGCATCAATCCAAGTGACGTCAATTCTCCGCAGGACCCCAACTTGAACAAAATATTCGCTTAGGTAGGTGCCAAAGTAAGCGAATATTTTGTTCAAGTTGGGGTCCCGCGCAGAACTGGCGTTACTAATCACTGTGGCACAACGCCAAGTTGGCATTATGCCACAATGATTAGTGATGCCAGTTCTGCGCGGGACCCTAACTTGAACAAAATATTCGCTTACTCTGGCACCTACCAAAAGCATTCTCGTGCCGGGACTCTGCCGCATCCAGTCGCTCTCCTTGTTTCAACCAGTGCTTTTCATCTCGCTAAAGGCACTGTCCGGGCTTCTGGATGCAATGGTTTTTGCGTGGATGATGAGGGAGTTTCAACTCATGCTCTGTTCACACGGCAACGCAAATGATCCGATCACAGCTGGAAGATCCATCTCGAATGACTAAGGACGGGTCCCAGCGCGAACGTGGACTTGTCAGAGCAAATCAAATTGCGGACGGTCATTGTGCAGCTGCGAACAGCTCGGTAATGATATTCTCAGCCGTGGATGGATCATTTGCGCTGATGCTTGGGCAGTGCCTCACCAGGGAAGGATGCTTGATCGAAGTGGCTCTTGAGACCGGACATATACCATCTTAAAGGGCATAAAACGCTGATTCAAAATCCGTTTTGCTTAGTTACGGAGCATTCCCGCGTGAGGAGTTATGAGCGTTTATTGAAGTAAAAAATCAGTTGTGTAAAAAGTGAATGAAAACACTCGTAAGACTTTCCTTAGCTCTTGAATGGAGCAGTTATAATTATCAGAGCACTTCGTGCAATAAATACTTTTAGATAAATTATATTCGCTCTCCACTGCCACACTTGAAAGCAAAGGAAATTCTAACAACTAAATTTACCTTGAAAAGTCATTCAAACTTTACTATATCAAACGCTCATAACTCCTCATGCAGTAACGCACCGCAGATAATCAGAACAGATTTTGAGTTAGCGTTTTATGCCCTTCAAGATGGTATATATACGGTCTCGAAAGGCCATTTCGACCAACCATCCTTCCCTTGTCAGGGACTCCCTCATCGGTTTCCACGTAGAAAACCCATGTGCCCAGATTGAGTGGACACTGCCTTGATTTTCTGCAACAAAGCGTGTACTACATACTGTGTTGGGATCATGTAAGCAGTGGTACTTAGGATCAACCACAAACTGGAAAATAATATGCTCTCCCTAGCGGCTGAAGCACACAAATTTTTCGATGCCCTGTGTTTCCACCTGCTTGAGGGAGTCTGCGCACTCTCTTTCATTTATCAAGGCACATGGAAAGGATAGCTTACCTAGTTGCCCAATCTTCTGATTGTGGTGTTGGCTCCGGTTTCACATCACCATTCCCAGGTCGTGGTTCCTTGCGTAATTCTTCAATTTTCTTCTCTACCAGACTGCGCGGTATGCCATCCTCTGCTTCATCAGCTTCGACCAACAGTGCCCAGAGCTCTCCCATAAACTCTCGTGCGCGTCGAGCATTGAGGAATCCGGTAATGTTTATCTGGAAATACAGACTAGTGAAATGATTTCAAAACGTGACAGGATGAGGTGAAACAAACCTGCATAATTTTTGGATTAATATCTTTTTCCTCCAATTGACTCATTATATACTCAATCACAACATCGTCTTCGATACCGAGAATGTCGTTGATACGCATAGTGATCCACGGCTTGATCACGTCCAAGTTGATTTTGTCCATGTTGATCTTAGAAAAAACCATGCCGAAAATCCTTTAAACATTCGGTTTAGAACGCTCTAAGCTAACCTACTTTCTAAGCTTTAGTAAAAAGTATTCCAAAAGCATTAACGTTAAACTTAGCTAAGCGCTCCTAATAAAAGTAAAAGTACCTTCCGATCTAATGTGTTCTCGAATTTCATCTGTTTGAGCAACTTCTTCTCCTTATCAGAAAACCGACCATCTTGATCCGAGCTTGTACCTCGGAAAAATCCAGCATCACCCATTCTAAAAATAGACAGCGATCTAGTATGACTGATTAGCAATCAACATCAATAACTGGTTGTGAGATGAAAAAAGAAAGCAGCTGTTCTCAAGCTATTTCTCACTTGCAAAATCTGTTTCTTATTCAAACTGCCTCGCTGATGCAAGAAAGTAGGTGAAACGAGGAAAACTTTGACTGCATATATCTAGACTAGAAAAATAGTGAACATTTGACTAACGAAATAATTTCGAAAGCAATTTTGAGCACTATCAAAACTTCTCGCTCAAAATAGCTTCACCACGAAGACTAGTGAAGTTAACAGCTTTCATGGGAGCCATTTGTTTCCAACACTGATTCGTGGTAGCCACAGCAACAAAAAATTTGAAACACTGAACAGGGACGCCAAAGAAACCGAACCCACGTCGAGTCCGGCGGCGTCGCAGCGGCGATTCAACCCGATCCGCAGGCGCATCTACTGCATTGGAATTTACGCCATCAAAAATGCAAATACTCGTTCGGCACACAGAGGCAGATTCCTTGTTTCTGTAAACCACGGTCAAGCCCGGGGTGTGGCAGCACCTGAGGGATCGTATTGAGGGGTAGGGAAAGGGGTCGTTATCAAGGTGATGCTGATGTTAGCGGTTACATGATATTCGTTAACAATGTCAGATAGGCCTGACATGCAAAATACTAGCACATACAGTAAGTATCTACAACGATCAATCATTTTTGTAATTGACTTGTCGAGTAACCCCTGTGGACCAAGCTTCAGCAAATTCTGAGGTTTCCAAATATTGGACCACCAAGTAAGATGGTCATTTTCGAACATACTGTGTTCCTAAGATAGGTTAACTAACAATAAGGTGCCATCATCTATCATAACTTATAATAACGGGCTAAGGATGTTTACGTGTTTTTGTGTGGATGTGTGTGTGTAAGTCTGTCTGTCTGTCACGAAATTCGTGGAACGGTTGCCAACCAACATCTTAAGCCCAAATTTTGCACAGCGCATGCTACCAACATGAGAGTCCAATATACCAAAGCTTGAGCGGATCCGTTCAGTGGATCCTTTGAAAATCACACGTCAGACGGATCCACTTTTCTTTTTAGCCGCAAAAGTAGTTCAGTATGCAAACTTTTTGCTAAGTTATGATTATTTTTAGCATATAAATCCGCAAGATTTTCTCCGGCAACTCAAAAAACTACGAAAAGTTTAATCGCATGCGAAAACGGCGCCAGAACGTGGCAGGTGCTCACTTCTTCGATTTCCAGAGGTTCTATTAGACGAAATTGAAAGATTTTTGCTCAGAGACGTAGCTCACATTATCAGTTTTTATAATCGCAACTATTGAGTTTTCAAAAGTTTAGTATTCATTCTGAAAAAGTATTTGTTCTCCGTTCGAAAGAACCCTTTCATACAAAATTACCGGTTACTTACGACAGTGCATCTGAAATGAAAAGCTTTCCCCATTTCATTCGTGATGCTCGGTGAGTTTCATTGCTAACTTAACAGAGGAGGAAAGCAAGACTCCCAACGCGCTGGCCACACGTGTCAGACCTTTGGACAGGCGGAAGCAGTTTGACTTTACAACGCATAAATTAGTCTGTAAGACATCAGCGTTTACAAGCACATGCATAGTTTCATAGCATACCGTACCAGCGTGTAGGCCCACCATGCAGAAGGACGAGCCGGTTCGATAAGTGGGTCCTCTAAAATTTGCGCCTCAAACGGGTCCACCTGGCTTTTGGCGCGCAAAACTAGGTCACAAATTCAACTTTTTGCAAAATCTGATTTGCCTGACAAGCAGATCTGTGCTCCAAGAATTCTAGCTCAAGAAGTACTCAAAAAGTTTGCTTTTCTGCAAAAACAGCGCCAAAAAGTAGTGGTCGCGTAAAGAGTCGATTTGGCAAGGTTTCATCTTAGTGGTCGCGTAGAGAGTCGATTTGGCAAGGTTTCATCTCAAAATCTGAAAAGATTTTTGCACGGAAATGTAGCCCAAAATGAATATTACCTTTATAACATTTATCAAGCTAAAACAAATTCAATAATCTGTTCGAGTTCGTTTTATTTCTTGGCAAAAAAGTTTTCCTTTTCGAAATTACCGATCTTACATAGGAATGCTTCAAGAATGAACAGTCGTTTACAATTCATTTATCATTACTTATAATAACGGGCTAAGGATGTTTACGTGACTTTGTGTGTGTGTCTGAGAGTGTGTCTGTTACGAAATTCGTAGAGCGTGTTCCAGCCAACCTCCTGGGCTCAAATTTTGCACAGTGCATGCTACCCGCATGAAACTCCAACATGCAAAAGAACGAGCAGATTCGTTGAGTGGATCCCTCAGAAACTGCGTGTCAAACGGATCCACTTTGCGTTTGGGCCGCTAAATTGGGTCCGTAATTCCACTTTTTTTCAGAGTCGTGGATGTTTGTGCCAAGTAAATGTGCAAGCCATGAACTTAGGCTCAAAAAAGCGATCAAAAGTCCATTACTTTACAAAAATGGCGCCAAAAAGTATTGGTTGGCTAAATGGTCAATTTGCCAAGGTTTTACCAGACCGTTTGACGAAAATTTTGCACAAAGTTGTAGCTCACGGTGACTGCTGTTCTCATTGCAACTGCAAAGACCATGCGAAAATCAAAAACCTATAAAAATTTGCATTTGTTTTCCTGCAAAAAGTCTCATCCACGCGAAATCACCGATTTCCCATACAAAAGCTTTCGGAATGAGTAGTTGTTTACATTTTGTTCGTGATAGTCGGCATTGCTCGGTGAGTTTCCAATGCCATCATTATACGAGAATGAGTAGGGCCTGGATAGCAGAGCCAGTGCGAGCCTCTGCGAAGCAGAGGTGACGCACTGGTAATTATAATAACGGGCTAAGGGTGTTTACGTGACTTTGTGTGTGTGTGTGTGTGTGTGTGTGTCTGTCTGTCTGTAACGAAATTCATACAGCGGGTTCCAGCCAACATCCAGAGCTCAAATTTTGCATAGCGCATGCTACCAACGTAGAACTCCACCATGCAAAAGCACGAACGGATTCGCTGGGTGGGTCCCTCAGAATTTGCGCGTCAAACGGATCCACTTGGCTTCTGGCCCGCAAAGCTGGGTCCGTATCAACACTTTTTGCAAAGCCGTGGATGTAATTAGCAGGTTGTTGTGTAAGTCATGGACTTTAGACCAAAAATTGACCAAAGGTTTGCTACTTTACGAAAACGACGCCAAAAAGAAGTGTTGGCCTAAATGGTCAATCCGCCGTCGATTTACCTGAGCATTTGAGAAGATTTTTGCATAGAGATGTAGCTCACGGTAACTATTGTCCTCATGGCGACTACCAAGCCAAAAGAAGTTTAAAAACCTAATCGGATTTGCATTTGTTCTTCTGCGAAAAATTCCATCCACGCAAAATTACCGATTTCACATGAAAAACCCTTCAAAATGAGTAGTTGTTTACATTTCATTCGTAGTAGTCGTCATTGCACGGTAAGTTTCAAAGACATCATTAGGTGAGAACAAGTAAAGCATATAAAGTAAGACCAGTGCGAGCCTCTGCGAAGCAGAGGTAACGCACTGGTTCATTTATAATGTGCAGCATCGTGCGGTGAGTTTCAAAGTCATCATTTTGGGAGCATGAATAAGGCAACAGGGTAGCAGAGCCAGTGCGAACCTCCGCAAAGCGGAGGTGACGCACTGGTAACTTATAATAACGGGCTAAGGGTTGTTTACGTTTGTGTGTGTGTGTGTGAACTTCTGTCTGTCACGAAATTCGTAGAGCGAGTTCCAGCAAAGGTCTTGAGCTAGAAATTTGGTAATAGCACCCTATCAGCAGGCAGGTAAAATATGCAAAAGCACAAGCCGATCCGATAATTGGAACCTGTGAAATTGTGCGCCAAACGGATCCACGCGACATTTCGCGCGCCAAAATTGGCCTGCAATTGGACTTCTTTCAAAGTCATGGTTTCGTTTAGCAAGTAAATCCGCAAACCATGGACCCTAGCCTGAAAAGTGAGCAAAAAGTTTACTTTCGCGCAAGATCGGCGCCAAAAAGGAATAATTGCATAGATGATCGATTTGTCAAGGTTTTACCTGGGAATGCGGGACAATTTTTGCTCAGAGGTGTAACTCACGGTTGCTATCATCTTTATGGCGAGTATCAAGTCATTATAACCCCAATAACTAATTCATAATCGCATTTAATTTTTTGAAGAATACTTTCTTTCCCTTAAAGTCACCGATCTTACATGAAAAAGCTTTTGGAATGGGTAATTGTTTACATTTCATTCGTGATAATCGGCATCGCGAGGTAAGTTTCAAAGCCATCATTTTGCGACTACCAGGTTGGTATGTGGATAGTACAGCCAGTGGGAGCCTCTGCGAAGCAGAGGTGACGCACTGGTATATATATAAAACTGAAAATTGTGAGTTTGGAGGCTATGTGCGTTATAGAAACGCGCGCCGTTCAACCGATTCAGCTGAAATTTTGCACACATACGTTTTCGAACTCGGCGCAGATGATAGGCTACTTTTCACGGCGATTCGTTGGGTCCTTCCATCGATTTATCGATTTGTTTACGTTTTTCTAGGGAAATGATGGCTTATCATGTTTCAACCCATTTTCTCACATTCATGTAAGCTAGGGCGGTAAATCTCATTTCTACTGCAGGCTCACGAGGATGCGGTATCGAAGGGATGTTCCAGGGTAAGTCATTCATAACATGGAAGAGGAGGGGGGGAGGGTACCCGGGCTGCACGACAGGAAAGAAGTATGCGGAACGCCGCGCCTAAATTCCGTGCCCTCACTCTCTGGTGCTAAGTTGACACAGCGGAGGACGGGGATTGCGGGGTGGGGCATGTACATGACTCGGTGCCATAAGTTTTAGCGCAAGAGGAGCACTATTAGATGATGTACTGTTGAAGACACGTTGTGGCGTTTTGCGAAAAATTTGCGCCGATCGTACCTCTTGACCGTTCCCCAGAGAATAGCAGTACAGTAATCTTGCTGACAACCTATAGTATCTACCCC